ACCCGCTGACTCGCAGGAGTAAACTGGTGAACCCCCGCATCCTGTAGGGCAGCACCACTCACCAAGTTCGTCGAGAACGAGGGGAGGTACAGGCCGGACAGGGCGCCCAAGGGGGCAGCTGGACACGGTAGAACAGTGGAGAAGTGAGAGAGGACAGGACCCCCAGAGGGGTCAGCTAGGGAGACCGCAACCGGCCGGCCAAGCGGCGTGAGTGTGGTGCGGCCCCGAAAGAAGGAGCGAGAAGCCCCAGAGTCAAGTGTAAAGGTGAGGGAGGCCGAAGCCGACGCGGTACCTGAGAGCGCAGCCTCACCAGTACCTTAGAGCGCAGCCTCACTAGTACCTGAGAGTGCAGCCTCACCAGCACCTGAGAGCGCAGCAGTGTCACAGGCACCTAGCGCAGCCGTACCAATGCCCGGGTCGGGCGGGAAACACCGGTAACAGTCACCCTCATCACTAATAAACACAGCATACATGGCAGCAAGGATAGCATCAAAGTCTAGCTCAAAGATCGCTACACCGGCTCTAGAAAGGTCTCTCCAGCGGGGGATCTCAGAGGCGTCAGGGAACTGCTGACGCCAAGCGTCCGTCAGGCGGCCAAAGCAGCGCCGGGTGGCGTGGGCACCCCCATACTGCTCACCCGCGCGGTCGCCACTGCGAAGAACGTAGGTGCATGGACCAAAACCTCCACCACGTGGACTCTGCGCGTACCACTCACGGAGCTGCTGAGGCGGGGGGATGTCCCGAGAACGCTGCTGCTACTGCTGCTGCTGCCGCGGACCACCACCAGAGCCGCTCCGCTGCGGGGCACTACCCCGACCAGCTCCACCTCCCCCGCCACCACCTCCTCCACCTCCGCCACCACCACCGCCTCCGCTCCCACCGCCTCCGCCGCCACCGCCTCCGCCGCCGCTGCCGCCACCACCGCCACCACCCCCGCCACCACTCCCACCGCCACCCCCACTCCCTCCGCCGCCTCCACCGCCACCTCCACCGCCCCCGCCAGCTCCACCTGCGCCCTTGCCCCCCTTGCCCTTTCCACGGCGTCTCCTGCTAGGGGCAGACGCCGCGCCGATCGACTCAAGACCAAGCAGGTCGGCAGCAGCAGCAGAGGCAACAGAGGGCAGCAGGGGGGAAGGAGAACACCCCTCAAAGATGGGGGTGCGCGGGTCTCCACGAGAGGCTCCTACAGCGACAATACTCTTCTCCGCCGCTAGGAGGGCCTTCTCGAGGAGGTCGACAGTGAGGGTGGTGGGACAGACTGAGAGGAAGTGGTCCCTGACTACGCGAAGGGAGTCAGGGAGACGAGTGACTATGTAATAGAGAGCGATGTACATGGGGGGGGGGTTCTTGGCGCAGAACTCAGCAGGAAGGGCAGCGCGGTAGCGAGTGTCACTAGTGCGGAGGTGCGTAATGAGGTCAGCGACAGTGGGAAAGGCAGTGAGATCAGGAAAGAGGTACGGTAGCATGAGACGGCTCAGTGCAGCAGTGGCAGGGGAAGAGTAGCGTGCAACGACAGCGTCGTACAAGGTCTGAGCACTCTTGTACTGACTAAAGTGCGCGCGCTCAGTGGTGGGCAAGTGGCGACGCACAACAAAACATGCAGCAGCATCGCGGGTGGCCCACTGAGAGCGAACAGTGGGGTCAGCATCGGCAGTAGGGGCAGGAGAGGCGCCAGAGGTGAGGTCAAAGAGGGAAAGGCCGTCAGCTCTATCGCACTGTAAGAACAGCTGCAGGTCGTCGACCCAGACCTCAAAGTCAATGGCTCGACCCTCAGCGTCAAAAGCGAGGACACTGGGGGTAGCCATGACGACGACAGTGGAGCAGTGCAAGCAGTAGGGGAAGGGCACGCAGTGACAGCGGTACGGTGCTCACCGGGCAGGGCAGGTCGGGCGGCTCGGCTGCTGGTGGGCGGCTCGGCGGCTCTGGGCGGCTCGGCTGCTCCTGGGCGGCTCGGCGGCTCCTGGGCGGCTCGGCTGCTCCTGGGCGGCTCGGCTGCTACTGGGCGGCTTGGCGGCTCCTGGGCGGCTTGGCTGCTCCTAGGCGGCTCGGCTGCTACTGGGCGGCTCGGCTGCTCTAGGAAGGTTGCCCGGCGGCTCGGCGGCTCCTGGGCGGCTCGGCTGCTGCTGGGCGGCTCGGCTGCTCCTGGGCGGCTCGGCTTCTGCTGGGCGGCTTGGCTGCAGCTGATGAGAGCGGCCGGGCCGCTAAAGAGGGCGGCGGGGCCGCGCAGGAAGGGCGGCGGGGCCGCGAAGGAAGGGCGGCGGGGCCGCTAAGGAAGGGCGGCGAGGCCGCGAAGTGCTGAGGGCGGCGGGGCCGCGATAGCAGGGCGGCGGGGCCGCGATAGCAGGGCGGCGGGGCCGCGATAGCAGGGCGGCGGGGCCGCTAAGGAAGGGCGGCGGGGCCGCTAAGCAGAGGGCGGCGGGGGCCGCGAAGTGCTGAGGGCGGCGGGGCCGCGAGAGCAGGGCGGCGGGGCCGCGATAGCAGGGCGGCGGGGCCGCTAAGGAAGGGCGGCGGGGCCGCTAAGCAGAGGGCGGCGGGGCCGCGAAGTGCTGGACGGCGGGGCCGTGAAGGAAGGGCGGCGGGGCCGTGAAGCGCAGGGCGGCGGGGCCGCGAAAGCAGAGCGGCGGGGCCGCGAGGTCGAAGGGCGGCGAGGCCGCTGGAGCCGGGCGGCGGGGCCGCGTAGCAGAGGGCGGCGGGGCCGCGGAGGAAGGGCGGCGGGGCCGCGTTAGCAGGGCGGCGGGGCCGCGAAGGAAGGGCGGCGGGGCCGCTTAGCAGAGGGCGGCGGGGCCGCGGAGGAAGGGCGGCGGGGCCGCGTTAGCAGGGCGGCGGGGCCGCGAAGGAAGGGCGGCGGGGCCGCTTAGCAGAGGGCGGCGGGGCCGCGATGTAAGGGCGGCGGGGCCGCGTTAGCAGGGCGGCGGGGCCGCAAAGGAAGGGCGGCGGGGCCGCTTAGCAGAGGGCGGCGGGGCCGCGATGTAAGGGCGGCGGGGCCGCGTTAGCAGGGCGGCGGGGCCGTGAAGGAAGGGCGGCGGGGCCGCTAAGGAAGGGCGGCGGAGCCGCGATCGAAGGGCGGCGGGGTCGCGAAGGGAAGGGCGGCGTGACGGGCCGCTAGGGGCGACACGAAGGGTCGCTAAAAAAAGGAAAACGCGCCTCGGGGCGCGCTTCGGTGGGCCCTAGAAGCAGTCCCTAGGAGGGAACCTGCTCTGATTCCATGTGAAATGAAGAACGCGAAATGAATGAACTATGAAATGTGTGAGTACAAGTACCAATCCTAATTGTGTTGTTCCCCCTATGGGATACCCCACTATAGCCTACACAAAAGCATAAGCTATAAGTTCTGACAGAATCTTGTGGTGTGAAAGGGCGAATCTGCAATGTCAGGTGAAATGTCTTGGTGATTGGTCGAAATTATTGTGCTCTGACAGCGCAAATCCGATGTGTCAGAGCGATTTTGATGTGATTGGGCGAAAATCTTGTGCTGTAAGGCGCGGATTTGCAGTTTCAAGCCGATTTTGCATTGACCTGTGAAGTTCGAACCGAATCACCAGTCAAGAACACATGCAGAAAATAGAATCTGTACGCGTTTGTACTCTGAGTGATCAGAGCACACTCCCGGAAAACTCTGAAACGTCAGAGTTAGCTCTAAAATTTCTCTGAAAATTACAGAGTTGGGGCCCAAAAATCTCTGATTTTAACAGACCTCACTTAAAAAAATTCTGAATTCTCAGAGTTTTTCATGCAAATCAGAGAAATTTCTCTGACTTCTGGGGGCCTGGTAATCGGTGTTGTAGAGTCCACATTTCTCATCAACAAACTGTTCCAATCATAAATCACGTCTGCCGCTACACCAAGCGATAAATCAAGATGATCACAATACCAGGGGCCTGGTGATCATAATCCAATGTTTGCCACAGACTGAGAATGGCTATAATGGGACATACAGGGGGATAAGTAGGAGCCCATACCCTCTACAACATAACCCAACGTACCGTCATCGCTCTGATATAAGACAGTGTTGAATAGTAGGCAGGGGTTGTCTACTATACGGGTGTCTCATATAAACAGGCTAGCCTTTTTATACGACACCTATTTGTGTGCACGAGATAAGACATATGTGTCTTATAATCGAAACTGCAATGTATTATAGTAAGAATCGAAATCCCGCGCACATTTTTACCCTTGCGACACACGAATTCTGCCACGTGCTGACTCACGTACTACCAAATTTGCCTCTGCAAGTATTCAGGATGACGTGGCGTCCCGAACAACGGTTGCCTAAGTGGCACCTTTGCAACATCCATACTCTTAATGAGAAACTCTTTTCAAGATGCGTGAAAATATTTCTTAGTTTAAAAAATTTTCCATTTATAAGACTTATAAGACACCCAAAACCTCCCCAAATACAAGATAACCCAAGCATTTTTTTTAGTGTATGAGATAAGACATATATGTCTTATATCCGGGCGATGACAGTAGCCAAGCAATGTACACTTACAAACATTCAAGTGCATGTTGACAAGGATTCTAATGTCCAGGGGTCTCATACCTAGTCCAATCCAGACCCAGAGACTCCAATCCAGGATATTTTGATTAGAATTCTACGGTAGTAGGAAACAGAATCAGCGCTTGCTTGCATTTGGTGCTTCGAACTACTGTATGTGTAAAAGTTAACCACTCGACATGGTAGGTGATTGAAACCATTCGATTCGAGTCATACCGTATATCCTCCTGCCAAGTGCACAAAAGTTTTGCAACGCCACACAAGAAACGTTGTAGAATCTCCCCTCGTTGCCTTAGCGCACCTTCCTAGGCACGACTCGAAGGCGCTTGTAAGCCATCACTGACGTGGCTGTGAAGAGAGAAAACCTGAGAATCAACCAAGTGTGAAGTTACACGCCACCCAGAAAGACCGAAGCCAGCAATTTTATGTACAGCATGTAAGCTAAACATCAAACATACCTAACTCACAATTATAACAGGACATAAGTAATTTGGCGGCCGAAGATTCACCAGGTGGCGGCGTAGGTGATGTGGTCGGTGGGCATGACTGGCAGCTTCACGAGCTCCTCCGGGTCCTTGGGGCGAGGGAAGCGCGGGTCGCTGGAGAATGCAGGACACACACCCGCCTGCCCGCTGCTGCTGCTGCTGCTGCCGGTGCTGTGAGTTGTATTTTCTTCCTCTTCCTCGGTTGGTTTCATGGCGTCCAATAGCAGAGTGCCACGTGGCAGGCCACATCCCTGGGCCATGGCCGGCACGTCCACCCAGAACCATTTGCCGTGCTCCGGCGCGTTGGGAGGCACAAAGTGGTTCGGCTTCTCACTGCCTCGCACCACCCCGGACACGCGTATAATAGGGGGGGTGTTGGGCTGTATGGAGGGGAGGGGGAAGGGAGATGTGGAGGGAAAGAGCACTTGTTTGAACAACAAGAGTCGTAAGTGCTCTAGGGCGGCACAAAGTGGCCTCGGCCCACACCAGACACACGGATAACCGGGGGTGCGTTGGGCTGTGTGTGGTGGAGGGGAGGATGAGATGGGAAGGAAAACAGCACTACTTGAGACAGCAACCCTCCCGCTGGCTCGCACCACACCAGACACACGGATCACAGGAGGGGCGTTGGGCTGCGTGGAAGGAAGGAGGAGATGGGAAGGAAATAAAAAACTCTTCAGCAGTAAGTAAGTGGTTCAACTTCTCGTTGCCTGGGACCAATCCAAACACTTCATTTATGGTCCTTTTTTTTTTTGGTTGAATGGATGCACTAGCAGCATGCATACATTCACAATTTAGACACACGGATCACAAAGGCGTGGTTGGCAAAGTTGAGATCACTGTGGGGACACTCACGGGCGTGGAAGATGGGAGACAGGGAGGGGAAGATCAAGTTCGTGATGTGAATGACAGCCCAAAACCTCTCCCATCTTATGTTACGGGTCATTGGGTGGCACTTTGTGCTTGGGTCACTTTTGAGATGGGATCTTATGTTCTCAATTTGAATAGATCCGATCGTATCTGACCTAACCTGATCTGATCTGCTTTTGACTACAAGCCTCACCTCGCTGCCTGCTGTCTCTGCCTTGGTTGAGGCCCGCCCTTTACCTCCCCCCGACCCAAACCACCCCCTGCTGCTACCCTTCACACTAATGTCACCGCTGCTGCTCCTGCCACTGCTGCTGCTTCCGCCACCACCACTCCTGCTCGTCCTACTGCCACCGCTCTCAACCTCCTCCTTCCCCACCTCGCCTGCAGCCCCCCTCGCCCTCTCTCCCGCCATCCATGTGTCTGCCTCTCGCCTCACTGCCTCCGGCACCCACCCCCTGTTCACCAGCACTGCTGGCTGCTGGCTGCATAGGGAGAAGGGGAAAGAGGCGATGGGGGGGATGAGGGGATGAGGGAGAGCAGTGGGGAAAAGGAACAGTCAGGAAGAGCACTCAACATGCACGTTTCGCCTCACTGCCTCGGGCACCCACCCTCTGCTCACCAGCACTGCTGGTTGCTGGCAGTGAGGAGAACATGAGAAAGGGGGAATCGTGGAATGGGGAATAGACAATGGAGAATGGGGGATCGAGGGGTAGCAACAGGAAGGAGGGGAAGCAAGGAGAGACAAGGAAAGAGGAAAGAGTAGGGGAGGGAGCGAGGTAACTCCACTGGCTTTTCGAAACATGGAGCTCTCTCGATGGCACCACGTGGTGCACCAGCACCATGTGTGTGGGCCCTCTAGCTCACAGGTGGCATGAGATGAGGTGGCATGAGATGAGGTGCCAGGCCAGCACTCGGGAGGAACATGGCTCTCGCTTCACTGCCTCTGGGGATGGAGACAGAACCAGGGGAAGAGAGGGCGACGATTGGGGCAAGAAGCGAGAGAACTTCACAGGTTTTCCGAGGCATGCCGCTGGGCACAGGGCATTGGCACATGCGTGGGCCCTCTAGCATAAACGCACCTGCCCTCACTGGAGCAAACCCTTTCAATAACAGTTTGAAAAGTGCATATGCATTACCTGTCAGCAGCGGGCGGCAGTGGCGTGACAAGAAAGTTCCGTTTCTCCTGCACGCCCCTCACGGCATCCAAGGGGAGTGATTCACTCACGGGGCGAATGCGCATACCTGCCAGCGGGAGGCAGCAGCGGAGTGACGACGAAGTACCCTTTCTCCTGGGCGCCCCGCAAGGCTGATGTGATAATTTGACGGGGGGGATTAGCTTACACATACCTGCCAGCACGTGGCAGCAGAGGCGTGACAAGGAAGTACCCCTTCTCCTGTGCGCCCCTCACTGTGTGCGCCCGCATTGGCATGAAAGACGAGTGCTTTACTGACGGGGCGAATGGACATACCAGCCAGGGGGAGGCATGAGCGGAGTGACAAGGAAGTACCCCTTCTCCTGCGCACCCCTGCCCAGCCAAACACCTGCCATAACTACAGTGAAAAGTGCCCTCCTTGCCCAGCCAAACACCTGCCATAACTACAGTGAAAAGTGCCCTCCTTGCCCAGCCAAACACCTGCCATAACTACAGTGAAAAGTGCCCTCCTTGCCCAGCCAAACACCTGCCATAACTACAGTGAAAAGTGCCCTCCTTGCCCAGCCAAACACCTGCCATAACTACAGTGAAAAGTGCCCTCCTTGCCCAGCCAAACACCTGCCATAACTACAGTGAAAAGTGCCCTCCTTGCCCAGCCAAACACCTGCCATAACTACAGTGAAAAGTGCCCTCCTTGCCCAGCCAAACACCTGCCATAACTACAGTGAAAAGTGCCCTCCTTGCCCAGCCAAACACCTGCCATAACTACAGTGAAAAGTGCCCTCCTTGCCCAGCCAAACACCTGCCATAACTACAGTGAAAAGTGCCCTCCTTGCCCTGCCAAACACCTGCCATAACTACAGTGAAAAGTGCCCTCCTTGCCCAGCCAAACACCTGCCATAACTACAGTGAAAAGTGCCCTCCTTGCCCAGCCAAACACCTGCCATAACTACAGTGAAAAGTGCCCTCCTTGCCCAGCCAAACACCTGCCATAACTACAGTGAAAAGTGCCCTCCTTGCCCAGCCAAACACCTGCCATAACTACAGTGAAAAGTGCCCTCCTTGCCCTGCCAAACACCTGCCATAACTACAGTGAAAAGTGCCCTCCTTGCCCAGCCAAACACCTGCCATAACTACAGTGAAAAGTGCCCTCCTTGCCCAGCCAAACACCTGCCATAACTACAGTGAAAAGTGCCCTCCTTGCCCAGCCAAACACCTGCCATAACTACAGTGAAAAGTGCCCTCCTTGCCCAGCCAAACACCTGCCATAACTACAGTGAAAAGTGCCCTCCTTGCCCTGCCAAGCACCCACCTGCCAGATGGAGGGATGAGCGGAGTGACGAGGAAGTACCCCTTCTCCTGTGCGCCCCTCACTGTGTGCGCTCTCGGCCCCACAAACAGCGACCGTGCATCGTCGTACCGCCCCGCACACTCCACCCGCCGGAACTCCAACTCCCCTGCTGCCAAACCAGACCCTTCTGCTGCCAAACCAGACCCTTCTGCTGCCAAACCAGACCCTTCTGCTGCCAAACCAGACCCTTCTGCTGCCAAACCAGACCCTTCTGCTGCCAAACCAGACCCTTCTGCTGCCAAACCAGACCCTTCTGCTGCCAAACCAGACCCTTCTGCTGCCAAACCAGACCCTTCTGCTGCCGAGCTAGGCCCACGAGGCCCGGAAGCGGCTGCAGGAGTGGCTGCAGGAGTGGCTGCTGGAGTGGCTGCAGGAGTGGCTGCTGGAGTGGCTGCTGGAGTGGCAGGTGGCAGCAGGGGCAGTGCGGTTTCCTCCTCGGCTGCCAGGGCGTGTGCCTGCAGGGCTTCCAGCAGCAGCACTGGCGGCTCCTGCAGGCGCTGCTGGTCAGCCAGTCTTGCAATTGTTGCATGCACCAAAGCAGAAATAAATTTTGAACCTAACTGTGTATTGCTTGAATTTGACTCAGGTATTCCAGACAAAGGATGCAAACCAAGTCCGACTGCTGTCAAATGGCTCTCCAAACCAAGGTACGCTGCTGCTTGCTGCTCATGGGTGTCGCACTGTAAGGGCATGCCGTGCACTAGCAAGCATCTGTACCGTATTTCATTCTGCGGGGCCACCTGAGGTTGATCTGTGCTAATGCAGTGCGTGTGAGGGCCTTCCCATCACGAGTCTCTCAAGCCATGGGCTGTTCGTGCCGTGCCGTGCCGTGCCGTGCCGTGCTGCTATCTGCTCCCAAGAAAAGGAATGGGAGCGGAGGCCTGGCATCACGAGACAAAGGGGATACCAGATGGCACCGAGGCAGCGTTTCGTGCGTACTTGAGGGGCACGGGAGCAGAGGAAATGGCGTGGTGAGTTGAAGGGAGTACCAGATGGCACCAAGGGAGTGCGTACTCGAGTCCAAAAAACTGGTGCAGGTAGAACTCCTCGTAGCTGCATGGAGGGGGGAGGGGAGATGAGAGGGCGATGAGGCGAACGAAAGCAGGAGGGCAGCGCATTGCAGGAACTTGAGATCGATGAGCTGGTGCAGGCAGAACTCGTAGCTGGCGTGGGGGAGGATGGGAACAGGAGGAGGGTATGGGAGCTGACTGAGGGCATGTGCCCTCTTCTGAAGGAAGGATGTGATGGGAATGGTGCACGGGGCACTGGAGGGCGGGAGGCTCGTATGGTGGGGAGGTGGTGGAGGGAACTGAGGTGGGCGGGTGAGGGGGATGACGAGATTTGTGTTTGTGGCTTCAGAGGAGAAGTGGTGACAGGGTGTCTGAAAAACCTCTAGCATGGTACCTGCAAATCCTCCACTGCCCATGCAACCTCGCAACTCTACCACTCAGTCGTGGTATTACAGCTCTAGCCCCACTCCCTCTGCAACCATAGGGTAACCTATGAATCAAGGGTTTGCAAGCGAGGGGGTACTTCATTAGATGCCTCTGGGCCCACAAGGTAACCCGTAGCATGCCTACACAAGCCAGGGGGCAACTCACGGGATGCCTGCGCAAGCAAGGCAGTAACTCACGGGATGAAGGGTGCACAAGCAAGAGGACAAACTCACGGGATGAAGGGTGCACAAGCAAGAGGACAAACTCACGGGATGAAGGGTGCACAAGCAAGAGGACAAACTCACGGGATGCGGACGGCAAAGAAGCACCAGGAGACGAGGGCGAAGGCGAGCGTGCAGAGGGGGTTGACGAGCAGCAGCTGCGTGGCTATGCTCCACATGAACCACCCCGTGTAGCCCGGATGCCGCACCCACCTGCCATGGGCATGTGGGGAACACGGGTAGGGCATGGAATGCTCACACACATGCATGCAGTGCTGGCGGTGCAGGCAGAGGAGCCACAGTGACACGCCCGTGCAAGCAGGCATCTCAACGCCCAGGCATGAACGAGGCTGTTTCCTCCCAGTAATTAACTATGCCTGCTCACATGGGCAACCTGCCCACCTGGGCAACCTGCCCACCTGGGCAACCTGCCCACATGGGCAAGCTGCCCACATGGGCAAGCTGCCTTCCAAGTGAAGTCAGGGCTGGGCTGAGCCCACATCCACATGAATACTCCACCAACCTTCTTCACTGCTGTTGCGCCCATCCAGCTGCCACCTGTACCAGCAACTGCCACCTGTACCAGCAGCTGCCACCTGTACCAGCAACTGCTACCCAAGGTGCAAAAAAACGACGGTTTTTTCAATTTTTGATCGTAAAATACCGTATCGTAAGAAACGATCGTAAAAAACGATAAAAAACGGTTTTTGAAAATAAATACTTCTGGTGCAAAAAAACCTTCGTTTTTTTCAGTAAAAAGACCAAAACTGCTGCTGAAACAAGGGGATTGATTGGTGAGAAGAACAAGGGGGCCGTTAGAAGTGCTGATAATGCAGCGGAAGATTGTTAGAAGTGCTTTTGTGATCAGAACAGCATCTTTGAAGTTGAAGAGTTTTGTTGTCTAACAAAAAAACGACGTTTTTTTCCCAAAAGGTACCGTAAAATACCATCGAAAAAAACAATCGTATTTTTCGACAATCGTTTTTTTTCTACCTTGCTGCTACCTGTACCAGCAGCTGCCACATGTACCAGCAACTGCCACCTGTACCAGCAGCTGTCACATGTACCAGCAACTGCCACCTGTACCAGCAACTGCCACCTTTACCAGCAACTGCCACCTGTACCAGCAACTGCCACCTGTACCAGCAACTGCCACCTGTACCAGCAGCTGCCACCTGTACCAGCAACTGCCACCTGTATCAGCAACTGCCACCTGTACCAGCAAATGCCACCTGTACCAGCAGCTGCCACCTGTACCAGCAGCTGCCACCTGTACCAGCAACTGCCACCTGTACCAGCAACTGCCACCTGTACCAGCAACTGTCACCTGTACCAGCAACTGCCACCTGTACTACCAACTGCCACCTGTACTACCAACTGCCACCTGTACTTCTCTTGTGCCACGTTGCAGTGGTTGCGCCACTTGGGCGTCAGGGCTGTCCACATCAGCACACACACGCCCTTACTTGTCACCCATCCACCCTGCAAGTGCCCACCTGTACAGGAACACCATACACACACAAGCACCCAACCGCACCCACCTGTAAAGCCCGTGTGTGACCAGTCGGTGTTCGCGCCGCTTCTCCGTCTGAATGTCATGAGTGAAGCTCCGCCCTGCCGTCACCATGGCTGCCTTGCGCACCGCTTCCCCCGCCAGCAGCAGCGCCCCCCCCACCCACGCCACGGGCCACAGGCGGCGCTTGAAGGCTGGGAAGAGGGCGGTCTCGAGGGCGTATTCAGTGAGCGCTGCTGCCATGGCCAGCAGATACTCCTGCGAGAAGAGGAACGCTGCATGGCTAGCGGGGGTGGTGTGCGGTGGAGAGGGATGGGGAAGGTGTGTGGGGAGAGGGAAAGCGAACACTGAACAGACAGCACACAAGGATGGGAAGAAGGTGGCCTCGAGAGAATACTCAGTGAGCGCTGCTGGCACGAGGAGATGCTTCCGCGAGAAGAGGAAGGCTGCATGGCTAGCGGGAGGTGGGGTGCAGTGGAGAGGGGTGGGAGTGGGGGGAGAGTGTGGGGGAGGGAGGGAAAGCGAACTTTGAACAGATCTCAAGCAGCAGCAGCAGCACCCCCAAAAGCAGCACCCCCAGCAGCAGCGGACCCCAAAAAAGTGCCACCGGCTAGAAAAAGGGGCAGGGCGGTGGGGAGGGGAAGGGAGCAGGATGAGGTTGTGCGGCCGGGAGATGAGTGGAAAAGGACGGGAAGGATGAAACTAGCGGGACAGATGGGGAAGGGGAGGGGCATTGCAGCGTTGTGAAGGGAAGTTCCTCCTGTGCGACAACGATGGCTGGAGTGGCGGACGGAGGGGATAGGAAGGCTGGAGGGAGGAGATGTGGTAGGCTCGAGGGATGGGACGGGTAAGGCTGGAGGGATGAGATACCGGAGGCGCATTGAAGTGTCAACACAGCGCCCCCGCAATCAGCGCCCTTGCCAGAGACGCAGAGGAGAGGGGACGGATTGGCGATGAGGGGGAGAAGGCGAGGCGAGCGAGAAGAGAAGGGAACCAGAAGCGGGGAGGCGAGGCGAGGGGAAGGCGAGGCGAGGCGAGGCGGCGAGGCGAGGGGAAGGCGGGAAGGCGAGGGGAGGGGAAGGCGAGGCGAGGCGAGGCGAGGGGAGGCGAGGCGGGGGGAAGCCGAGGCGAGGCGAGGGTAAGGCGCGGCGGCGTACATCGGAGGTCGGGTTTGCCGGTGGACCAGAGCGCGAGGAGGAACTCGGAGGAATGGAAGAAGACGAGCGCCGCGAGGAACGCCGCCAGCATCGTGACTCCTCGTGCGATATCGCTCGCTTGTTACCCCCCGAGGGTTTTGCTACACGAGACGACGCAAGCGCTCGAATGTTTCCTTCAATGCTTTTGGTACTGCTACAACTCGAGTGTGACGCGATCGCTTGTTTCAGAGGCTTACGCCTTTCGAGGCGCCTCAGAACTCGGAGGAACGGAAGAGGGCGACTGCCGCTGCGAAGCCGCCAGCATGGTCACGACGATGCGCGAAATCGGTCGCTTGTCTCGTTCAAGGCATCTACTACTACTCGCCGTGCGATGCGCTGTGTGAGCAGGTTTGGCGATTCGAGACTGAAGTAGATGAACAGGCTTGATTCGAGACTGCATCGTCGGCCTCATAACGTAGTAATTCGGGGTAGATCACTGCGACAATCGAACTCTCGCGAAACAAATTTGACGAAAGTTACAATGCCCACGCCTTTACCAGGCGATGAAGCAATAAAACCGCCCTCTAGTGCACAGTACCGTACTAAACCGTTTTGGGACCTGCTCCACGGCTGGTTCCCATGCCTCAGTTTATCTGGAACCGTTTTTTATCGTGAGAGATCCACCCGAACCGCATTGTCTCAACAACGTCAGAAAAATTCCAACTCCACAACTGCGATTTTCAATTCTCCCTCCCTCCACTCCCTCCCAAGTCCTCAACTCACAGGTTCTCAAAATCGGCCGCAGAGGCCAACGACGGAAACTACACCAAAATTGGCTTTCCCGCTCACAGCTTTCTGCAGTCCCAGAAACTGTCAGCCCATTCACAATGAGGCGAAGCTATTGTCATTTTAAAGCCGCGGTGCAGATATCGCTGCGCCAGTTCAAAGTATTATAGCTTGAAAGGCGCGTTACCCAGTATACACTGGAAGTCAAGAGTTGGCAGAGCTTTCTGAGAGCGGGGGAAGGTCGTGCGGAAAAGTGTCTCGCAGCATGATGAGTGGGGGGGAAGCTGGGGAGAGCTTGCGGAAAAGCACCGCACCACAGCATGAAGGGGGGGCCAGGCATCAAACTTGAAACATGAAACTTGAACTCAAAACTGCTCAAACTCAGCCATCTCTCGCGCTAGGCTAGGTTACTACTAACTTGAAGCGCCTTCCCGTAGAGCTACTGAGAGCCATTCGCCCCAGATCTATCGCTCTTCTTCGCCTCTTAGTGTGCGCTCGAATATCTGCGCTATTTCGTACCCCAAAAAACACCACCGCGGCTGTAACCGTAGCGCGCGATTTCCTCCGCGGTATTTGTTCTGTAGTCCCTCTCCCGTCCCTCTATTTCTCACGAATCGGCGGTGGCAAGCATTGATGATGACGACAGGCAGGATTGGGTGCGACAGCAGCCAGCGGGGCGACGATACTGAGCATAGCGGCGACGGTAGCGAGCAGCATGGCGACAGCAGCGCAATGACGATAGTGAGCTGCGATGGCGACAGTAGCGAGCAGCGGGGCGACGTCTGCGTGCAGCAGGGCGACGTTAGCGAGCAGCGGGATGTCGTTAGCGAGCAGCGGGGCAAAGCATCTGTTCCGACGGTCCCTAAGCATCACGCGTCCAAACCTCGCAAGCGGCTTTAGCGAGCGAGATTGGTAGCGATGCGGCGAAGGCAAGGGGATGTGTGTGGCAAACGCAATGGCGGCAAGAAGCTGCAAGCACGATGGCGACAGGGCCGGAATGGGTGAGAAGGACAGGGGGAAAGGGTGGGAAGAGCAGCGATCGATGGTCGGAATAGGTGCTACTGTGGCGAGCATCGCCTGAGGTCGATGCACAGCTCGGTCACGAGACGACATGGTCCGGCTAGTTGCGCACGTGACAGCGAGCAGCGGCGCGACAGTGGCGAGCGGTGGCGAGCGTTAGCGAGTGGCGGGCGAGGCGGGAGCGTGCAGCGACATGCTATAGGCCCCTGTCCTTCTTTCCCTTTCCCCCACTCCTTCTATCCCTTCCCCCCTGTCCTTCCTCCTTTCCTCCATGTCCTTCCCACCCTTTCCCCCTGTCATTCTCTCCCTTTCCCCTTAGTCCTTCCCTCCCTTTCATCGTTGTCGTTCCGCCTGATGCTTAATCCTCCCCCCTGTTTTCGTCCCCTTGCCCCCATTCGTCCCTTTTCGCCCACTACCGTCGCTGCTTTTCCTGCTCATTTCCCCCTTTCCTGAACCCTTCCTTTTCCTCTCTCACATCCCTTCCCGTTCCCACAATCCCATCCCACGATTCACCCTTCTGATGGCCATCCCTTTCCCTCCTCTCCTGTCCCTCCCCTGTCCTATCCCATTCCCCCTGTCGCTTTCTCCTTCCCCTGTCCTATCCCATTCCTGTCCTAGTTCAAGCGTGAGAGATTGACCCGAAGCACTATTCACTATTCAGCCCCCCTCCCTGCTGCTCCCCCCTGCACCCATTCGTCCCCTTGTCCCCTCACCCAACCCTCGCTTTTTCGCACTCCCATCCGTCGTTTTCCCCCTTGTTTGTTCCAGGGCATTCCCCCCTGCCACCATCCCCCATGGCACATCCTCCTATGCCACACCTTCAGTTTCACGCCTCCCCATTCCCGAACTCCCCTTGTCCGTCGGTCCCTTGGCGTCTTGCCCTTCCCTGCAGGCAGCAAAGGCGCGACGGTAGCAAGCGGCTCGCTCTCACTGTCTCTCCACCACCAAGTCCACTGCTTCCCTTCACCCACCCCGCTGCTTCCCTTCACCCACCCCGCTGCTTCCCTTCACCCACCCCGCTGCTTCCCTTCACCCACCCCGCTGCTTCCCTTCACCCACCCAACTACTTCCCTTCACCCACCCAACTACTTCCCTTCACCCACCCCATCACTTTGTGTCGTCGCGCACCCCACTGTTTCTGCCAACCCTCCATTCAATTTCCCCGTCGAACATTTTTCACTTCTTCGGCTGGTGTCCTTCCCTACCCCCCTCCCCCCCCCTGCTATCGGTGGACAGCTGCATCAATAATGGATCAGGGTACATTCCGCTGTGGACACATGTCCCAATCGATGTGTCCCAATCGTTTCTACCGCACTGCATCGTATTACACCAATTTGCACCCTAGTTTCGAAATTTTCGCGTCTCTGGTTTAGTTCGGTTCGGAGCGGTACACTCGATTGGGACACGTCGATTGGGACATGTGTCCACAGCGGAATGCACCCTCAGAGGGGTGTGAAGTCTGGCTCATCTTGGAGATGCCATGTAGGATTTAAAGACACTCATGTTTGCCGGCCATGTGTACATTCGTTGCACCCAAAAAGAAAAGGGAAACAAAACAACCACCCCAAACTTTGATCGTTCTGAAATCCTCGAATTTGCCTTTGAGTCGCAGAATATGATATTTGTGTGGTACTCAGCTTTTTTTAATGCAAACTCTTTCGTTCTGCAATGTAGAGATGACGTCGTACTCATCGGTTTCGAATTTCGCGCTGTCGTGTGTGTTCCCCCCAGGGCTAATTTTATCAGGGTAAATCACCCTGATAATCAGGGTGGGTTTTGGCTGTCACACTGATGCCTTAGGGTAATTTTTTCGGGAGCTTGTATTTTCCTGATAGGCCAGGGTTTACGTTTAAGGTACACTGACAGCCCAGGGTTACCGATCTTCGTAACGAGTTTTACCCTGAATCGAGTACATACCCTCCCCGAGCCGCCCCACCCCCCGCCCCCTCTCTACCCACCCCCCCTTTCCCGTATCGAGGTTCTCGCATGCCAACTGTCGAAACTGAAATTTGGCAAAGGCAACCTCTCTGAGCTGGCACGAGGGGGGCCTCCATTGGCCAGAAATACATTTTCGTCATTGCCTGCCAACGATAATATCAATACACCAGGGTTTGCAAAACTGGTACACTGATCCTACAGGGTATAATTTTCAAAAACTAAGAAAACCCTGGTGGATCAGGGTTTGAACAAGGTGTCACACTGATAATCAGGTTTTTGGACTAGTGCAACACTGATCACAAGGGTTGCTGGAAACCAAAAATTAGCCCTGATCGTATCCCCACACTAGCAATGGAAGTACTCTCGAGGTTGTTGGGAACAACAAGTCTTAAGCGCCTCTATCGTGTCGAGACTCAAGACACAAGCGAAGCAGCTCAAATCGAAGCGCAACGAGTCAACCCTCGGAGGTTAGGGTAACCGCTGGAGGTTACGAGAAGATCAAAGGTCAGTGACCTTTGACTTGACAAATGCAGCGCAACAGCAAGGACACACAACTGACTCGACATTGAGCAGTTGCCCGAGTCGCACTGAATCGAATCGCAACAGAAAAACAGTTTAATCATATCTATTTGTATTCCTTGTACTCTTATATAAACCTTTGTATTTGCTTGTTTTAATCAACTTACTTTGCCCTCATATACTAGCGCAAGGTGGTTCAAAGACTTTTATTCAAACGCTTCCGCTATTACATCATCCTACTCAGACTTAAACTCTACAAAGATCCTAGGGCACCTCAGCCCAACATGGTATGAGAGCTGGTTAGAGTTCAAAGTTACTCTTTTTCTTCAACACTCAATACAAAGAAGACATGTCTGCTAGAAAGGAGGGGATCTCCTCCAACGGCTCTCCCGGCACTACCCCTACTCCACCTCCTGTCTCTGGCCTACAGACAGAGGAAGGGACAACGAGACCAGCAGCTGGGTCTACGGAAACACCCGCGGGCTTCGATCCAAGTATGATGGAGAAATTTTTCTCCTTCATGTCCTTCTACGAGCAGCATCAGCAAGGAGTACCTGCGCAGTCAAACAACAGCAACAACAACAACGTGACACCCATGAGTCTCGACGGCTCATCCTACGCACGCGGGAATCATCAACAACAACAACAGCCTACCTTCGCTCCGTACGAGCCCCAGCGCGGCTCCGTCAGCTTCATGCCGCAACCTCAATCTGCACCGGGACAAGAAACAGCACTGGACGCATTACAAGTTCAATCGCAATTCGTGCATGTTCTGAAACTACAAACGACAAAACCTTTCGACGGGAAGGATTTCTTCACCTGGTCGTTCGAATTCGAGCTGATGATGGA